GTGCTCTGCCCACCAGCGAAGTTTGAATTCTTTTACAGACACTCATGCATTGAATTGCCATGTCATCCAAACTGACTCCACGATCAGGGGGGGAGGGCCACCACCCACCCACCCACCCACCCCCCCACCACACCCACACCCCCAACCCCGCCCCCCCCCCCCCCCCACCACCCACACACACACACACACACACACACAGATGTGTTCTCGCTGCAAGCTGGCCTGCGGTGCTGGGGCGAGTTAGGCCATTGAGTGCGCAATGCCTTGTCCGGCGCACAACTACCGTCATTGACTGGCAGTCGTGACTTGTGCGTGTGAATTGAGCGGGCAGAGACACAGGGCCGCGCCACACACCAGTGTCCAACACCCTCTTTTTTCGCTCTTTTTTCGACATGTGAGCATCGCCACAGCACAGGTGTCGTCTCTTTTCTCCCCAAATCTTTTGGACATGTTTTAGGTATGATTTTAGGTAAGAGTGTTCGACAACAGCAGCAGTTTCCCCAACTCGAAAACTCCAAACCGCCTGCCTGCAGCGGGCCAAAAGACCCAAAACTGGAAATCACAATAAAAAAACAATACGACAGAGCTTGTGTAAACCAGCGACTTCTCTACAAAACTGCCAGAGTAGAGTAGAGTCTCGGTGGAAATGCTGTCTTCATTTCCATAGCGTCCAAACCCCGCCCAGTCGAAACGAGCTGTGTGTTGCGAAGGCGGGTCTTTTTTGGAACCCCCCCCCGCCCCCCCCCGGAATGTCGAAAAATGCCTGACAGCTGTCGAAAATTGAGCGTTTTCGACACTGGTGTGGCAAGCCCCACAGACACAAACTACTGGGCTATCAATGGCAATGGCGTTGCTGATGCTGATGCTGATGGCGATGGGGATGGGGTTGTGAGAAGCAAGCGCGCTCATATCCTCATATGGTCAGCTGGTCTCATGACAGCGGAGAAAGCAGCTGAGACGAGGTGCACACATGCCACACGGTTGCGGCTGCGCGATCGAGATCCCAGCTGCGTTGTTTGTTTGTTCCTTGCGCTCGCGCTCATCCCAGCACAATTGACTGCAAACGAACGAGCAATTAATTAGTGGCAATTAAGTAGTTCCAACCTCCACGGAACTCGGAAGAGGAGGCGCGTAGCAAGTAGAGCAAGTAGTCTATCGTTCCCCGAATCCCCTTCCCCTTACCTAACCTCTCATATCCCCTCCTCCTCCCCCTCCTCCCCCCCTCCCCGCCCCCCTAACCCGGCCCTCTTCCTTATATCGATCCATATGATCTCCGTAGTACTTATGTAAAAGTAGTATAACCGTCATTTTTGGCTCCGTCGGCCAAACAACCTCTCTCTCTCTCTCTCTCTCTCTCTCTCACACACACACACACACACACACACGCACACGCACACACACATACAGGACACTCTCCTCCCCCCCCCCACACACACCACCACACACACAGACACACATAGACATCACACTCACACAGACACACACGTATACATCATCATTTTCTCAGACATACACACACTTACGCAACACAAACACTCGTAGAGTCCGACGAGCGGGCACGCTTCGGGTGGGTGGATATAAAATAGAGAGGCAAAGAGATGGCGGAGCGATAATGAGAAGAAGGGCGTCGGATTGTGGCAGAAGGAAGAAGAGGAGGCAGTGTCCGACGTCCGTTGTGCAGAGGGCTTAGCTGCTGTGAGAAGAGCGGAAGCGCGGCTGGCAAAGGACTTGTGCGCCGCGGCCACGATAATTACTCTTCCTCAGGAGTCAGGACTCAGGAGCAGAATGTTGCCGCTTACACAGCTGCTGCACTTGCTGCGCCCGTCTCCAACGCCTTCCTTGCTGATGAGCTCGTTAGGCCGTGAGAGCTTGAGTGGCTCCGCAGTCGGAATCTCCCTCCTCAAAAGTGCCAATCCAATGAGAATCCGATGATTGGCAAGCAGTAGCCGACGGACGGACACCGACCTCCCAAGCCCAGCCCGCGCACCTCAAGGAAGCGAGCGCGCGCGAGCACGAAAAGAGAGAGAGAGAGAGAGAGAGAGAGAGAGAGAGAGAGAGAGAGAGAGAGAGAGAGAGAGAGAGAGAGAGAGAGAGAGAGAGAGAATCGGAACCAGGAGGAGGAGGAGGAGAATAGGACGGGAACGGGGAAGCATATCGCTGTCACGGCGGGAAGACGGAAAAGGAAGGGATTGGAGCAAGTGTGAGGGGGAGGAGGACTGCAACTGCGTGGAGGCGAGCAGGAGAGGAAAAGAAGGAGCCGACTCCCACACACACACACACACACACACACACACACAGAGAGAGAGAGAGAGAGAGAGAGAGAGAGAGAGAGAGANAGAGAGAGAGAGAGAGAGAGAGAGAGAGAGAGAGAGAGAGAGAGAGAGAGAGAGAGAGAGAGAGAGAGGTTCAGGAGGTGTGCTTTTGAGTGGTTTATGTATGGGTAAGGCCCAGGATCTTGTCACGCGTTCCAGGAAGTCGAGATCTATCGCCTGTGGATCGCAGTTGAGGAGAAACAGAGGAGGAAGAGGGGCGGTGCAGAGGAAGCGCGTTTTTGTGAGAGGGAGGTGGTGGGCCTCAACGACCTCCGCATGCAGCGGAACACTGACAGCACCCTCTGCGCTTCCTTCCGCTACGCTTACCCATTGTCATACGCGAGCGCCCTACACATTTTCTAGTCCAGAGAATCTCGAAATACAACGACAAGCACGAGAGGGCCTACATTCCCAATCCCACTACTTTTGGTAGTAGACGAATCCACCCGCATATCCGATCCAAATTCATCCAAACAAACCTGCTTCTTGCTGCTTAAAAAAAAAAAAAAAAAAAACACGTGGCAGCTTTCGGCTTCTTGCTGGAGTGCTGCTGCTGTCGAAAAAACTACTGCCACGTGTCAAGAGATCCCGACGCAGGCGCCGCCTTTGCTTCGCTCGCCTGCATCTGCCACGTGTCCCATTCGTCATCAAGATCGTCAGATCGACTCCGTAGTCGGGATCTCTTGTGAAATTTATACGGACTGTACGGGGTGTTAAGTCAACTCCCTCCCTTCTGTCCCAGCGCCTGCGTCGGGAATCGGGATCTCTTGAACGCGAAGCGGCAGGCCTCGGATTCTGCCGATTAATCTGTTAGACCTTTTTATTTAGATATATTATTCGATTAAAAAAAAAAAAAAAAAACACAGAGAGACGGAATAATTTCACCAATTCGTTAGATTGGTGGAATAATGTGAACACGCATTCTCGCTTCCGGCATGAGGTATCCCGATGCTGGAGTGGAACGAGTGACTTGGGGGCAGACTTCCAGTCGGGCAGAAGCAGAGAGACAGGTGAAGGAGGAGAAGGAGCGGTCGGTCCTCTTTCATCCACCAAGGAGGTTAAGGCGAGCCTAAGGCGACAGGCCACGGCGGCTGTGGGCATCATAGTAACTTGTTGGACAGCCCAACGAGAGCAGGCCGATCTTTCATCTGGTTGCCCTTTGCTGGGGGGTGGGGTCAATAGGATCAACTTCCGAGGCCCGAGGGTGAGTGCACTGGACTGTCGGAGGGAGGAGAGAGAGGGGAGGAGGTGGGCGGAGCGTGGCGGACAGGAGGGGAACTGGGCGGGGGGTGAGCGGAAACGTGGCGACGGGGAGGCGGGAGCGGGGAGTCTGCGCGGGGTGGGAGATTTCGGTTGGAGCTGTCTCTCTTTTTGCTTTGCAGCAGCGTCGGGAATGAAGAGATCGTTGTCGAACGACCGGTAGAATGCACTTTGGTCGTCGGACGACCGAGCGATAGCGAGTAAAAGAAGAAGAAAGTGCGTACTACCTACCGGTCTTGCCGGTGACCTCTTCTTCAATCTTCAATCTTCAATCTTCAATCTTCAATCTTCAATCCGGCTGCGAACCACCGGTCATTCCGGTGACCTCTTCTTTAATCCGGCATTCTCAGCCGGTCGTTCCAGAGATTAGAGTAGCGGTCCAACTACCGGTCGTATCGTTGGCAGAGGACGGAGGATTGGGTGAAAAGCCATCAGTACAGCGACATAACTGCACCAGGCTACCAGCTCGTATCACTCCAACCGGTGATCTCTTCTTCAATCAAGCGGCTTCCGTGTCGTTAGCACTCTGCCGTCAGCGTCCACTGTGCCTTGTTGCTGGGAAAACAACTTCCGAGGCTCAGCGAGCGAGCGAGCGAGCGAGCGAGCGAGAGAGAGAGAGAGAGAGAGAGAGAGAGAGAGAGAGAGAGAGAGAGGTTCCGTCGGAACATGTCAGCGGCGGTGTCCACTGTGAGTAACAAGTGGGTGTCACTGAACAGCAGTAAAAATCGTACGAGCAGCAGAGTGAAAGGCGGGGGAGGCGGCGGCCATTGCCAAAGATCGCCCGTCGTGGTTGTAGCAGCAGCGCCTGGAACGAAATCGGGATCGCGATCGCGATCGCCATTGTCCACGTCTTCGTCAGCAGCAGCAGCAAGAGCGGATCTTGCCACCGGTCGTCGTCGGAAGTCGTTCTTACAAACCTCCTCCTCCTCCTCCTCCTCCTCCTCCCCCTCCTCCCCCTCCTCCCCCTCCTCCTCCTCTTTCGCGCATTCTCGATCTCATCCTGAGCTGTACGTCTCCTTTCTCGCCGTCAGGCCGAGTGGTGGTCCCGTCCAAGCTCGCATCAGCAGCAGCAGCAGCCGCTGCATCGTCGCCATCGACAGGAGGCCATTTGAAGCGGTCTCCCCAACGGCTCTCTCATCGATTGCTAGGACCGAGACTCTTCCCTGCGGCTTCTCGCGTTCTTGTTCTCTCTTTCCCCCTCCTTCCTCTTCCTCTTTTTTTGCTTGCAGTTTTGCTTCTTCTTCTTCTTCTTCTTCTTCTTCTTCTTCTTCTTCTTCTCGTGCTTGTGCGTCTTGTTCTTCTTCTTGTCCTTCTTCTTCTTCCTCGTCTTCCTCTTGTCCTTCTACGTCTTCCACGGAAAGGTGGGAGTTGACCTCTCGCGCGGAGAATCCGTCAAGTGGTGGTCCCCACGAAAGTGAGGGACCTGGGTGTTGCGCCTCTGAGACCTCCACAGAGTCCAGTCTGTCGTCGGAATTCGGTGTCACACTCACGCATCTGCCAGGCGCAGGCCCGCTGTCGCTTACACAATTGAGCGGGAGGAAGATTACCACCGGCTGGTCACACCTTGCGGCAGTAATTCGTCGGTAAGTTCTTGTTCTGTACTGTGCCTTCATCTCACCTCCTTCCTCCTTTCGATCTGTCATCACTGCTTCGCTCCTCTGCCCTTCCCCTTCGATACCCATCCCTACTCTTCTGATTATACCATTACCGCGGCCAACTTCTCGCTTCACTTCTTCCAGTTCCTTCTCATCTCCAAAATCTCTCTCTCTCTCTCTCTCTCTCTCTCTCTCTCTCTCTCTCTCTCTCTCTCTCTCTCTCTCTCTCTCTCTCTCGCGAATTGTGTAGGTGCGTGTTATCCGGCGTGCGCGGGCTCATGTGCGTGTCAATGGGAAGTGAATCTGATGGACGATCCAAATCTTGAAGGGAGTGGAGGGACACCCAAAGCGTTTTTCCCATTTAGGTGTGTGTGTGCTGAATGAATGAGGGCGTGCGGGCGCGTGGTTGTGTAGGGGGTGTGAATCGTGTGATTGTCTGTTGAGGCATCCTTGCGTGGCTAATTGCTGATTGTACTCCACGTGATGACCTCTGTCGATTCTTTCCCTTTCTAGTGCGAGCGGGCTCCCTTCCTCTTCTGTGGACCCGCGATCCTCTTCTCTAGTCGACGGGCCTGTCGGCTCTTTGCTCTTCCCAGTGGGCGACACTCATAGGTCGCAAAAGCGCTTTTTCTTACAAGCTTTCTCCGCCCTCCGCTTGAAAGTGTTTTGTGTCTGGATGTGCGTGGGCGTGTGTGTGTGTGTGTGTGTGTGTGTGTGTGTGTGTGTGTGAGAGAGAGAGAGAGAGAGAGAGAGAGAGA